AATAATAATAATAATAATAATAATAATAATAGTAATAATAATAATAATAATAATAATAATAATAATAATAATAATAATAATAATAATAATAATAATAATAATAATAATAATAATAGTAATAATAATAATAATAATAATAATAATAATAATAATAATAATAACAATAATAATAATAATAACAATACTAATAATAATACTAATAATAATGATAATAATAATAATAATAATAGTAATAATAACTGTAATCAAGTGTTTTGAAGAAAGATTAAAAAGTAGTTAATTTTAAGTGATTTTTAAAAATTACAAAAACTGAAATTAAATTGGCATTACTTGCACGAGAAATTCATATATTAATATAAATTCATATATTGTATTTACGATATTATTAATATTATTATCAATGTTATCATTACTAAATTGTAATTGTATGATTGGAAGTTTTAATTAAATTGATGAAAAAATTTTATCTATAATTTTGTAATTTATATATTAAAATAATCATATACTCTTTTTTTTTTTTAATCTAATAATTATAACATGATATTTGATATATCATTCTTTTTTTTTTTTTCTTTAGATCGATCAGGTTGTATCAAGAAATCATCCGGTGGTGTTCGATGTTGGTGTTATGGTCAAAGTAATTGTAACAATCCGCAAAATATGATCAAATTATATGATGCATTTAAAACGGGTGATTCAATGTTACTTGATGAAGTTATCGATGACATTGAAACATCAGGTTTGACAGCAAACATTTTTTTTTTGCTTTTTCTTTTTTATAATTTCAAATTTAAAAAAAATATTTCTTGAAATTAATAATTATTTGTCTAAAAAATTAAATAAGAAATAAAAAATTGATAAAAGAAATTAATAAATGGAAGATAATATTGTTGAAGAATTGTTTGTAAAAAAATAATCAAAAATATTTTAAAAGGAAGGAAAATTGAAATATATAAAAATTGAAATTTATTATAAATTAAATATTTTTGATCACATTTGGATAAATTTTAATTTTGTTAAATTACAATGTATTTTCCACTGAAACTTTTAATTATATTATTTCGAAATTTTTAATCATTGAAATATTGCAAATAGTTTTCAGTCATAATGAAAAATAAAATTTAACTCTTAAATAAAGCAAATCTAATACTTTAAATGATAGTCTTAAAACTTTTACCGCCACATATATATATATACGCATACATGGCATTAATTTGGTGATTGGGAATTCTTTATAATGTTAATAAAAACTTTAATGTTCAATTTAATTTAATTTGTCACTTTGATTAATTCAATTTGATGAAATCGATAAATTATATCTTTGATGTATCCTTGATAATATTCTTTATAATACTAATAAAAGCTTTAATGCTCAATCTAATTTAATTTGATACTTTAATCAATTCAATTTGATAAAATCAGTAAATTATAAAATTAGATTTCACTCGCTTATTCCAAATATATATATATATATATAACATTGGGATTATTATTTTGGCTGTAGTTCAAACCAATCATACATTAATAGATTTTTAATTAAATTAAAACCAGAAAAAAAAATGCTGGAAATGACTGTGGCAAGGTTGTTATGATTATTTTGCTGTAAATAAATACTACTATTTGTAATGATTATTTTATTATTCAACAAATATTATTATATGAAAATATATTTTGCTAATTACTCTATCATGATTAAATATCACTATAAAAACATCATTACAATAATGGTAAGTACCATTGCATTATTGTAGAAAGTTTAAAATGATTATTTTTCAATGATAATCATCGAATCATTTTGTGATAAATTTTATAATTATAGTTTTTTTTTCCTTTTTTTTTTTTAACGATTTCTTTATTTCTTTCCATATATTAACTATTGTTTAATTTTTTTTTCCCCATATTTTTATCAGAAGAAAAAAAAAAATTCGCTTTCGCAAGTGATAAGCAAACATTACTCACACAAGTATTAGAATTTACTATCAGCAAATTGATATTTGCATATTACGATGAAATAAAATTTACATTCAACTATTGTAAGGGTAAGAAAAAAACTAAAAAAAGAAAAACGAGAAAAAATTTGTATTGTATATCATTTTTCTTTTACATTTTTTCTTTTTGTTATTTAAAATAATAAAATTTTTTCCTAATAATCTGATTTTATTTTACAAAAGATAAAAAATTAAAATTCAATTAATTAAATTGTTAATTAATTATAATAAGTTAATGAAAAAGGTAATTTCAATAATTTTTAAAACAGTATTATTATGCATGTTTATTGTATGTAAGTAACAAAAATGGCATTGAATACAAATGCAACAAATAATTAAAAACAATTAATTGAAAATGTTAGAGTATTTAGAAAAGTTAATAATGATGATGATACCGGAAAATATTTCATTTTCAGATACCAATGATTATGATGGTGAATCCGGAATGGAAATAACTTCTATTAAAACCAGTACTGCAAAATATGTTACGGAAACATTACAAATATTCAGAATGGATAATCATAAAGTTGCAACAAAAGGTATTAATTAGAATAATTTAAAAAATACGGTTAATGGGGAAAAAAAAAGAAATTTTTTTCATGAATGTATAATTTTTCTTTTTTTTTTGTAAAATAAAAATTCAAATTAAAATTATTGAATTTGTGAAGTTAAAGTTTTTTTCATTTTGTTTTGCTAACATTTTATTTTAATAGAACATTCTGTTCATTTGTAATTCAAAATTCATTTCAAATTTGATTACAGTGTTTTCTTTTTCCTTTTTTTTTTTTTTTTTTTTCTAGATTACTCTATGTTATCGTCATCCAATTCAATGGAATTTGATCAAAGTAATCAAAATTCTCTAAAACAGCAAAATTTTGATCCAAAAATGCGACAAACATTGAAAACAACCAAAATTTCACCATTAGCTGATGTTAAATTAAATGAAACAATGGAATATTCGGACATCAAACATTCACGAAATCAAAATGAGAGGAAAATTCGGCATAAAGAAACGACCGGATCAGGCGCTAAATCATTGCGCAAATTAAAAATATTACATGATACAATTGCTTTATTATTATTATTATCCCTTTCTTTCATAATGTTATAAAATAATTTGTTGAAGAAAAAAAAAATAAAATAAAACGAGCAAATTAATTTTTAATTGTGGAAATTTAATTTTTAAAAATTTCTTTTTTTTTTCACAGGAAACTTTCAAAAAATTAACTTTTATTAATAAAAATCTCAAAAAAAAAAAGAAAAGGTGAATATTGTTTGAGTTAGAACTTTAGAAAAAAAAAAGGAAAACAAAATATTTTCATTTAACTTTTTCATTTTAAATTTTCATTTTAACTTTCATTTTAAACTTTCCCTTAAATTTTCATTTAATTTTTTTGCAAAAAAAAGAAAAACAAAAAGCAAAAAAAAAGAACGAATAAATGTTAAAATGGGATATTATTGGTAAAAAAAAAGATTAATCTTTTTCAAATATTTTTAATTTAAAAAGAAACAAAGAAATTATTTAAATTAGAAACAAGAAAAACTGAAGTTTTCATTGAAATTTTCATTTCTTTTCCTTTTTATATATAATCAATTCATCTGTTACAATTTCATTTATCGTCGAATTATTTGGCATTTTTTTGTTTTTGTGTCACAAGTTTTCATTTGAAAATAAAAATTCAATTATCGATTGTTATTTTATGTAATAGAAAATGGAATATTTTGTACTATATTCAGTATTAAAATCTTCATTAATATTTCATTATTATCGAAAGAATAGCAGTACTCCATTCCCAGAATTCCCGAGATATCTTTTATGATACGAATCATATCAATGATGAGAAAGATAATGTGTTTTGAAAGAGCAGCAGTGAACCATTTCTAGAATTTCTGCGACATTTTTTAAGATGCGAATCATATCAGTGATGAAAAAGACAATATGTTTTGAAAGAGCAGCAGTGATCCATTTCCGGAATTCCCGAGATATCTTTTAAATTCTATTAATGATGAAAAAGCAAAGAAAAAAAAAAGAACGAATCATATTTATGTTGTTTTGAATAGTATTGAAATGATTATCAGTCATCATTTATCTATTGCTCATAATTAATTGGGTTTTAGTTAAAGAATTTTTTCATTTATTTTCCAAAATGATCATAATCAGTTACAAATCAATAATTTGTTATGTAATTTAATTACTTAAAATATTATCAATATTTAATTCAATTTTGTTTTTGTTGTGAAAGTGATATTCCTTGCATTTTTACAACAAATATTTTATTCAAGTATTTCTGTTAACAATTATTTCACAAAGATAGTATCAATGTAAAAGTATAGAAATTTTCTTTTTCTTCATTCTTTTTTTTTTCGAAAATTTTTCCTTTTTTCTCTTTGCTATTCAAATAAAAATTTTAAAAAATAAAAAAAAAAGAAACGAAAAAGAGAATAAACAAACAAAATGACAATGTATATGAATTAGAAAAATTTCTAACAAATTCTTAATTTCCAAAAAAAAAAAGGAAAAGTGACAAAACAAAAAATCATTTCATTATCTTACGGTTTCAATTGTACTTCATCATTTTCCAACATTTGTCGCATTCGATATTTTTGTATTTTAGTATTTATTCGTGGAAAATCATCCACAAATGCAAATTTTGCTGGCACATTTAACTGAAATTTTTTAAATTATTTTGAAATTTAATTCAATCATTTCTTTTATTTTTGCTTTCAAAAATTTAATACTATTAACACTATTTTATAATAAATATAAATTAAAATGGGTGACAAAAAAAAAACAAAATATGTTTCAGGTTATTAGTGGATCAGTGTTAATTAAAATTATAATTATTATTGTTGGCTAATTTTAAATTATTTAATGGTTGGGATATTTGTAAAAATTCATATTTAAATTGTAAATTTACCAAACACTTTACATTTCAATCATTCATTTCTTTTTTTTTTTTGAAGAAGGAGCATAGAGAGAAATAAAACTTTCTCCGTTTAGTATACTTTTAAAAATATTGTAACAAAACAAATAATTAATTAGAGAAAAGTAAATAAACAAATAAACATGAAAATAAGGTTAAATAAATAAAACGAAATAGAAGGAAACATTATACTGAATAAATAAATAAATGTATTACTTTCTTTCTTAATAGTAGGAACAGCTATGGAATCCGGAAAGAGAATGAATATATGAAAGATGAAAATCCGGAAAATTACCGTTACGTATGCATCAATGAAATTATCATTTGGCAAATGATAAAATGCCACCTATATCATATAATGATATAATATTTTCATAACATTGTGAATGAAATATATTAACAATTTTTTTACATATATTTTTATATCGTTGAAATAACGTTTATCTTTGACTCTCTTTGATCATTAAAATAATCTTTGACCTTTAACCTTTAACGCTTCAAAATATTATTGCTTAAATTTTAAAAAGGAAAAAAAAAAGCGAATTAATGAGCAATATTTGAAGGAATGCTTTTCGAAGGTTGATGTTGTCGTCGTTATCTGACATAGCAGTCTTTTATGTCATCTTGTATGTGTCTGTGTAATGTGCGTTTATGTTTTATATGTGTGTATGTGTCTGTAGGTGTGTACATTATGTGTGTGTATGTGTATGTGTGAATGTGTATGTGTATGTGAACATACATATTCAGAATATATACTTTGGATATTGACAGCAAAATAGCGATTGCTCCTCTAACTGAGACTTTCTATTCGTCCAATTTTTATTTTTCATACAACAATGATAAAATAAATTCCCAAAAGGGACCAAACAAAATAAAATAAACTAAAGTAAAAGTAAAATAAATATAAAAGAATTGAATTTCAAAATTAAATTAA